ATATATATATATATATATATATATATATATCTCTCTCTCTCTCTCTATATATAAAAAACGTACAGATATATATATATATATATATATATATATATATATATATATATATATATATATATATATAATAAAACATATTACTGACCATTCAACTTTTATTTACAACGAAACAGCTCCAAATAAACATATTTAGTAATTTGGGGATTTCTTTAAAGGTGGAGGGGGAGGTCCCTTATTATGGTGGGCATATGCCTTATTTTCACATCCCAATGTTGACTGGAAAGTTAATGTTTCAAAGTCTTGACAATATAAGTCTGTGAGTATTTTGTTTAATATTTTTCTTAATTTATGGAGTGGAGTGTGAGGGGGGGGTGCTGTGGATGGCGGAGGGGTGTCGCAGACGAAGATGAGCCGGGTGGGAGTTTCGCGGAAGAAAGTGAAGAGGGTTGGGGGGGTCGCGGAAGAAAGTGAAAGTAAACAGTAAAGTAAGGTGCCGAATCAGATTTCAGAGGTCATGGGTCTGGATCCGGCGTGTTCCAGCACAAATTAAGCCCTGTATATAATCTATAAGAAATAACAGAAAATGGTTTTTGTTCTGTAATATACAACACCAGTGAATATATCACTTTAAATTATTTAAAATGTTATTGAAAGTCCTTTTTTTTTCAAACTTTTCAAAGTAAAAAGTTGTAGGAAAAAAAGATCAAGGTCCCATAATGTAATTCATAAACATAAGCAGAGAAAATAAAAGCACGAATTGCAAAATACGGAAAACTGCTAATTTAACGATATTTTTTACAGTGAACTATGATCAGAAAAAATACTGAGACAATTTATCTTTTAGATGATTTATATATGATAATTGATGAACATTTAACCTGATTATAACAACAGTTGGAGGGGAAAAAATCTAAAATCCAGAATTTACTAAATATACTGTATTTGGATTTGCGTCATACATTAGCAGTGGTGTAAAGTAACAAATTTCAAATACTTAAACTACTGTGTGAGTAGATTTTCCTCAGAAATTGTAATTTACACTAAGTAGTTTTAAGCTTTAAGTAGTTTTGAAAATGTGTACTTTTACTTTCCCTTGAGTACATTTTTAGTGCAGTATCGGTACTTTTACTCCTTTCCTATAGCCTGCAGTCACTACTTTATTTTTTCATGTCAGTGGGGATTAGAAAAATCAGTCCTGTGATTCCTGTCCAATCAAATCACACATAGAAGGTAAATTGCATCATAATGAACTACCTCAAGACATGGGTGATTTATAATTGCAGCAAACTGTTTGGAAGCATTAAAAGTTTCCAAGAAGATGTCCAAAATCTGTACATGCATTGACCCAGAGACTGTTTAGATCTATGTCACTGATGATAAGATGATGAATGTTTCCTTTATAAAATCGCCTTAAACACCCAACAGGCACAAGACGTCAACATGACATCAGATTAATGTTGTACCACAACCTCGTGGGGACATTGCTTTTTGTTTGGAAATGAAAATCAGGTTGACGTCAGAACTCAACGTCATTTTTGGGTCAACTAAACTTTTAACCCAGCTTTTTCTTTTTTAGTCTCTGTCTGTTTGTCCTAATTTGTGTTTGTGGATGAAAGAAGTTTTGAGTGGTTGGAACATGAGGGTGAGTAATTACAGTTTTTCCTCAGTCAAAACAATATTTACATTTGCACAACAGTTATTGCATTTCTCAAAACAGTTAGTACAAACTGCAAAACGTAGCTGATAACCTGCAAAAACATATCCATTGCCCAAAATGGATAGCTCATTCCTCAAAAGCAAGTATCCATGTCAATGTAATGCCTAGTTCAGACTGCGTGATTTTAGCCCCCGATTTTGGCTCGCCGACAGGTTTTGAGAAATCACCGACAAATGCCTGAAATCACAGGCAAATTGGTGCTCATGCACGTGAGTGACAATCACACAGTATGAACTATCAAAGACGCGATCTGAGAGAATCGCCCATGAGTCGCCGATGCCTGCTTGATATTTGGTGTGCTAAATATCTGGAGCTGTCGGCGATTCAAATCATGCCGTATGAAATAAGTTTTGACTGAAAATAACATCGGTGATCGCCTACAGCCAATGAGAGAGCAGCAATCACTTGTGTGTGCGTGTGTGTATACCTGCTGCAGGCCAGCAGGAGGCTGGGGGAGAAGTTAAAAGCGCTCATTTTCGGTTTATTTGGACCCACAAAATGGAGGAAAAATTTGTGGAGGTTTGACAGGACTCAGGAGCAACTGTGTCTGTTTGACGTTTCATACAGAATAAATTAGTTTATTATCAATGTTGAGGAGAAATGGCTAATTCCCTTTAAACCCAGGAGAGCAAATATGTACATTTTCTACCCCATTAAAGGCTTCTTTCTCATTATGTAGTTAATAACAAAAGATATACTACATGTTTTTGGCTGCGAGACGTAGTTTGGACAAAGTTGTCGGCGATTCTTCCTATAGTAAAGTCATGCAATGTGAAAGTCCCTATCGCCGATCTATCTTGCAGTGTAAACAAAGCAGCGACGAAACGCTAGCGCAGATAGTCATGCCGTGTGAAAACATCTGTGACACGACTACTTTGAAAATCATGCAGTCTGAACTCTGTGTCAGTGTCATCAAGATGAAAAGTCCAGACACCATTGTTAAACAAGTTAGATTGAACAAGATAGTCAAGATGGCTTTGTCATGTTTTCATCATGACAGTTTACTCTGGACATTTTTTCCAATGCAATAAAGTCAGATTTTGGTGACACGTCCTGAAAAGGTTCAAGACAGCACTATATACTATTTGCACAGCTATTTGAAAACTACAGCAAAGTTAGACATCACTGCATTTAGTGGGGTATCTGAGTACAAGACACTGAATATGTATGTTTCACATTTTTACTGAATATGCTCTTTGCAATTCTAATTTATTCACAGCATTGTGCAAAAGAATAAACACACCCTTATTTACAACAAACCTAAAGTCCCTTGCGAGGCAGTGGCGCAGTAGGTAGTGCTGTCACCTCACAGCAAGAAGGTTGCTGGTTCGAACCTCCGCTCAGTTGGCGTTTCTGTGTGGAGTTTGCATGTTCTCCCTGCCTTCGCGTGGGTTTCCTCCGGGTGCTCCGGTTTCTCCCACAATCCAAAGACATGCGGTACAGGTGAATTGGGTTGGCTAAATTGTCCATAGTGTATGAGTATGTGTGTGAATGCGTGTGTGGATGTTTCCCAGAGATGGGTTGCGGCTGGAAGGGCATCTGCTGCGTAAAAACTTGCTGGATAAGTTGGTGGTTCATTCCGCTGTGGCGACCCCGGATTAATAAAGGGACTAAGCCGACAAGAAAATGATTGAATGAATGAATGAATAAAGTCCCGTTGAGTAGAGCTGTGCACAACAGTAAACAATATTGCAGTACATATTAGAACTGAACCTACAACATACACAGGTTTGTAAATCATTCATGAACTTGTTCAGTTTTGAAGACATTTTAAGGAAAAACTATCTTTTTTATAAAAATAGCTTGATAGGTTTTGACTACTATTTCAACATTTTTGTATGTAATGACTCCAGTAATGAAATGAACACTGTTAGTTTTATATGGAATGACTATTCGGCATGATTAGTTATTTTGATTGACATGACATAAGCAAATGATATTGTTATAAATAGCAGAGAGTTGTAGGAAAGAAACTGATGCTTGTCCAAAAGCATTTGCAATTTGTTGGAAGGAATGAGTAACTGCTACTATGATCTGCACAAATGACTAATTGTTTTGAGAAATGCATGAACTGTTGTGCAAATGTAAATAGTGTTGTGAGAAATGCACCAAAGCCACTGAGAAAAACTGTAATAACAAAGTTTCCATTTTGGCTGAACATTAATTATGTTACTATCAAAACATTGTTGCATGTAAACATACCAAATGAAAGGTCCCATACCTTGTACAAACAGGGCCGATGATGATTTGAGATTTTTAGGAAGCAGTTCGCATCTGATCTCCTGGACTGTTTGACTGAACGAAGAGTTGCTCAGGATTAACTCCCACACTGTCAGAGAGGTCATGGAGTGATTGACTGTGGAGACGCTCTCAGATCTGGACAGAAGACCATGATCCACAGAAATGACCAGTATTGTGTCTTCGCCCAACCGCCAATTCATGACGTCCCAGGATTCAGTGGTGCTGCAGTTAAAGCGGACCTCGCTGCCTCGCAACACGCTCACGTTCCTGGGTTCTAGATAGATATAAGAGGCTGCAGCTGTGAAGAGGAGAGACGCGACTGAATTCATTTTGCTTCGGCACACATCCTTGGTGTTCAGATATATTAATTTATGGAAAAAAAAAACATTCACATAGACAAAGACTTAAATATGTTTCTTCGTTTTATAATTTGTAAATTATAACTTGTTTACATTAAAATCAATATTTTCTTAGCCTTATTCATTCAGAAAAGAGTATATAATAATAAAAGTAAATATTTTTCTTAAAAACAGAATCATTTTCTAAAAAAAACAACAACAAAAAAAACTGACCCCAAACATTTGACCTGTAGTATATATATATACACACACACACACACACACACACAGTGGAAGTCAGAATTATTAGTCCCACTGAATTATTGGCCCCGTTTATTTTTACCCCATTTTCTGTTTAACGGAGAGCAGATTTTTTTTTCAGCACATTTCTAAACATAATAGTTTTAATAACTCATCTCTAATAACTGATTTATTTTATCTTTGTCATGATGACAGTAAAGAATATTTAACTAGATATTTTTCAAGACACTTCTATACAGCTTAAAGTGACATTTAAAGGCTTAACTAGGTTAATTAGGTGAACTAGGCAGGTAAGGGTAATTAGGCAAGTTATTATATAACGATGGTTTGTTCTGTAGACTGTCAGAAAAAAATGTAGCTTAAATAATAATTTCGACCTTAAAAAGGTTTTAAAAAACATTTAAAACTGCTTTTGTTTTAGCTGAAATAAAAGAAATAAGACTTTCTCCAGTAGAAAAACATACTGTGACATACTGTGAAAATTTGTTTGCTCTTTTAAACATCATTTGGTAAATATTTAAAAAAGAAAAACAATTCAAAGAGAGGCTAGTAATTCTGACTTCAATTATATATATATATATATATATATATATATATATATATATATATATATATATATATATATATAGTTTTTAATAATATATATAATTGTTTTTTAAGGATTGGCCAATTATTACATTTTTACGGATTTTAAGAATGCATCTTTTGTAAATATTTGTATATTTTAATTTAAATTATTTTTAGTCAATGTCAAATAATGTTCAATGGAAAACTGTATTTTTATTGAAATTGTAATCTAATACAATTACAATAGAATTATAATTTTCCATTGAACATAAT